CATCATCACCGCCGCCGCCGCCGTGCTCCCACCACACAGGAACGCAACAGGGGGCGGAGCCGCCATCTACATCTCAATCTGTGCACAGTGCTGCGTGGTGATTGGGGGAGGAGGCATCTCCTGTTGCCGCGGTAACCGTGCAGCTCACCCGTGTCCCCCCTTCAGCCAAATGCCTAGTGATGAGCGAGTCCCCGGATGAAGAAGAATTGGAGGAGGGGACATGGTGAGTACACGGGGGCTGGGAGAGGAGTTGTGGGGCGCAGTGTTCCTGTACGCGGGGGATACGAAGGGATTCTGTCCTGGGGTGTCTCTGCCCAGTGTTATCCGCCGAATGTTTCTAGTAGTGGGAGGAGATGTGTGTTGTATGAAGAGTATGGCCCGGGGCCACGGATTACTCCCTGCTGCGCTCTGGATGCTGAGGGGCCACTCAGAGCTGAAACTCTTAAACATCGCAAAAGGGCCACACAGTCCCGTACTCTTCTACTTCACACAGGGCTGGGAATCTTATTCCTTACATAGGGGCCACACTGTGCTGGGACTCCTATTCCTCACATAGGGCTGGGACGTCTTCCTCACATAGGGGCCACACAGTGTTGGGACTAATATACCTCACACAGGGGCCACACAGGGCTGGGACGTATTCCTTACATAGGGGCCACACAGGGCTGGGACGTATTCCTTACATAGGGTCCACACAGGGCTGGGACTCATACCTCAGATAGGAACCACACAGGGCTGGGACATATTCCTCATATAGGGGTCACAGGGGGCTGGGATGTATTCCTCCTATAGGGGTCACACAGGGCTGGGATGTATTCCTCATATAGGGGTCACACAGGGCTGGGATGTATTCCGCATATAGGGGTCACACAGGACTGGGACGTATTCCTTACATAGGGGCCACACAGGGCTGGGTCATATTCCTCATATAGGGGTCACAGGGGGCTGGGATGTATTCCTCATATAGGGGGTCACACAGGGCTGGGATGTATTCCTCCTATAGGGGTCACAGGGGGCTGGGATGTATTCCTCATATAGGGGTCACACAGGGCAAGGATGTATTCCGCATATAGGGGTCACACAGGGCAGGGATGTATTCCTCACACAGGGCTGGGATGTATTCCGCATATAGGGGTCACACAGGGCAGGGATGTATTCCTCACACAGGGCTGGCACATATTCCGCATATAGGGGTCACACAGGGTTGGGACATATTCCTCATATAGGAGTCACACAGGTCTGGGATGTATTCCTCACTTAGGGCCCCACATGGCCGGGATGTATTCCTCATATAGGGGTCACACAGGGCTGGGATGTATTTCTCCTATAGGGGTCACACAGGGCTGGGATGTATTCCTCCTATAGGGGTCACACAGGGTTGGGATGTATTCCTCCTATAGTGGTCACACAGGGGGCTGGGATGTATTCCTCACATAGGGGTCACACAGGGCTGGGATGTATTCCTCACTTAGGGCCCCACATGGCCGGGATGTATTCCTCATATAGGGGTCACACAGGGCTGGGATGTATTTCTCCTATAGGGGTCACACAGGGCTGGGATGTATTCCTCCTATAGGGGTCACACAGGGCTGGGATGTATTCCTCCTATAGGGTTCACACTGGGAGGTGGGATAGCTGGGATGTATTCCTCCTATAGGGGTCACACAGGGTTGGGATGTATTCCTCCTATAGTGGTCACACAGGGGGCTGGGATGTATTCCTCACATAGGGGTCACACAGGGCTGGGATGTATTCCTCACTTAGGGCCCCACATGGCCGGGATGTATTCCTCATATAGGGGTCACACAGGGCTGGGTCATATTCCTCATATAGGGGTCACACAGGGCTGGGATGTATTCCTCCTATAGGGGTCACACAGGGCTGAGTCATATTCCTCATATAGGGGTCACACAGGGCTGGGATGTATTCCTCACATAGGGGCCCCACATGGCCGGGATGTATTCCTCCTATAGGGATCACACAGGGCTGGGATGTATTCCTCCTATAGGGATCACACAGGGCTGGGATGTATTCCTCACTTAGGGCCCCACATGGCCGGGATGTATTCCTCCTATAGGGATCACACAGGGCTGGGATGTATTCCTCACAAAGGATTCTCCGTGGCAGAGGAGGAATGTGCAGCCTGTGGGAACTTGTCTCAGGATCACACACATCTTCTCAGGCTTTAGCATGTTCCTGGCTGTCGTTGTGGACTGGTTGAGTCTTGGTTTTGTGAATGCCATGTCAGATGAGCGGGCGAGTTTCCAGTCTGTATGAGGCCACATGTATGGTAGTCATTCCCTTACTATTCCACTTTGGGTTGCTGTACTTTGGTGAATTGACCCATAGTGCTGGGCTTTGCCTCACACCTCAGGGATGGGTTTGTTTTAGGCTGAGTTACCATTAGATTCCATTTCTGAGGGCCCCAGTGATGAATGAGGCTGGGATGTGTTGTAGCTCCTAATTCCCTGCTTCAGAAATGGGTTTCTTGTATCAGTGATCAGTCACCAGCGAGAACATGTTTAGTTCCATACATATGTGGACCTCCAGGGGTCATGCACATGGTTGTAAAAATGCTGCATTCAGATGTGTACAGTCTATGGGTTATTACCGTGTTTCCCCGAAAATAAGACACTGTCTTATATTGTTTTTGGCTCAAAAAAACACACTAGGTCTTATTTTCGGGGTAGGTCTTTTTTTTTATGTTTAACAAACCAAAGTTAATGCAAATCCAAATTAAATGATCCAAAATGGCGAAGCACGCTTTCACTATCTGTAGCGCCGGCTCCTGTCACAGGCGGAGTGATACCAAATGCACTCCGTCTGTGACAGGAGCCGGCGCTACAGAGGAAACATCGGCTTATGCGGCTCTGCTTCCTGCGCTGCAGCCTCGCTTCCTCTAGCGCCGGCTTCGTTGGCACCGCTGATTCTCTCTAGCGGCTCTTCAAGTTCCCCCTTATGACACCACCGGCCCTGGGAATGATCACAACTAGGTCTTATTTTCGGGGTAGGTCTTATATTTTAGCAATTCCCAAAAATGGTACTAGGTCTTAATTTCGGGGTAGGTCTTATTTTCAGGGAAACAGGGTATGGATCAGAACACAGCAGCATTGCAGGCTATGGACCCATGCACACAGCTGCGCTGTGTTTAGTTATCTTGTACTGTGTACAGCAGCGTAAAATCAAAGTAGAAAAGTCAGTCAGTATTTGGGTTCGTGCACACGGCCATAAAGAAACTCTGCATTGTTATCCGTACAGATGATGTGTGTACACAGTGCATAAAGATCAGTAAACTTGCTCTGCGTTCAGATCCATAAAATGAAAATAGAAAAGTCATATATTACAATGTATGCAGGTAAACGTTTGTGCTAATGTTTACGTGTGTAGCATACAGTGCAAAGGCACCTTTTTGGAGACGCCTGTATCCTAGCAAAAAGGATATTAGGCAGCAGGAGCCATTTAGCATACTTCGTTGTTAGCATGCAGCTGGTTTGAGCCGCCTAGCATTTTTTGTTGCTAGGATGCAGGTGGTTTGGGTCACCTAGAGTTCTTTGTTGCTAGGATGCAGGTGGTTTGGGTCACCTAGAGTTCTTTGTTGCTAGGATGCAGGTGGTTTGGGTCACCTAGAGTTCTTTGTTGCTAGGATGCAGGTGGTTTGGGTCACCTAGAGTTCTTTGTTGCTAGGATGCAGGTGGTTTGGGTCACCTAGAGTTCTTTGTTGCTAGGATGCAGGTGGTTTGGGTCACCTAGAGTTCTTTGTTGCTAGGATGCAGGTGGTTTGGGTCACCTAGAGTTCTTTGTTGCTAGGATGCAGGTGGTTTGGGTCACCTAGAGTTCTTTGTTGCTAGGATGCAGGTAAATAAAGAAAAAAAAAGAAACAGCAATGTTTCTCTCCCTGGCGGCCGGGAGCAGGAGACTCCCGGGGCGCCAGGGAGAGTTTGCTGTTTGGAGATCAGTGTTCCTGGTTAGCAGGTAACCAGGCACGCTGATCTCTCTGCAAGTGGCCGGAGCCAGCTGTAAGATCACAGCTGGCTCCGCCCAGCTGTCAGAAGCAGGCTGTCGGCTGGCCAACGGCCGGCCGCTCGGCCAGCTTCGGCTTTCAGCGCGGCTCAGCAGAGCGTTCTACGTTGCTAGGATGCAGGGGGCTTCTTGCCGCCTAGCGTTCTTCATTGTTTGGATGCAGGTGGCTCAAGCTGCCTAGAGTCCTTTGTTGCTAGGATGCAGGTGGCTCCTTGCCGCCTAGGATCCTTTGTTACTAGGATGCAGTCAGCTTGAGCCTGCTAGCGTACTGGGGCACCTTTGCCCTATACACTGTATGCATGTAAACATTGCACAAACATTACATGTACGTGTACACTTCTGCTAGCAAGATCCTGTGTACTATTGCCCTATTTTCATACGGTTGTGTGCATGAGCCATTACTGTGTAATTTACACGTGTGTGCATGTAAATGCGTACACACTGGCATTGAAAACTGAGCCAGAGGAATGAATGAACAATTTTACAGATGTGAACATTCTATTTTAACTCTATATTCAGCCACTTGATTTAACATTGAACTTTAAGTATATATTACAATCTAAACTCAACATTTGCATGCACACAGTCAGTATGGTTGTATTGTATGTAAGCTTCATTTGTTTCAGTTCATGGTTTAATCTCATACATGTTCCCCTTCTTTTGTTTTAGCCTTTCCATGACAATGTTTACTACCCCTTTGAGCAGGATGTGGCTCAGGTCTCTACGATGCTAAATGCACCTTGGATGTCCCATCCTTTCCTTTCTCCTGGCAGGATGCCTTCTTCTAATCATGGTACACTTTTCAAGTTCCGGCCACGCCATGAAAGTGTGGACTGGAGAAGAATTGGAGCTATCGATGTGGACAGAGTAGCCAACGAGCTGGATTTTCTAACTCTTCAAGACAACATTATGGGCGTTACTTTTTGCAATGTGGAAAATGAGAAGTGCCCGCACTGTCACAGCAGCCTGGATCCAGTATTGATTAAACTGATCAGACTCACTCAGTTCACCATTGAATATTTGCTGCATTCCCAGGAGTACCTCACTTCTAACCTACAGACATTGGAAGAGAAGGCCCGTGCAGCCAAGAATGAGTGTGAACAGCTACAGGTAAAGATAACCAAGCAGAGCACAGAAATAAAGGCACTCAAAGATGAATGCAAGCTGAGGAAGAAGATGATTGCTGCACAGCAAATGATGATCAGTGCTAGCACCGGGCCCTGCCACAAGGTAAATGGAGAAGAAAATTACAGGGAATAAGTATGTGAAAGATAATACAGGTTATTATTTTCTATTTAGTGTACACATTCTTGCACATAGGTGTAAACCTATATCCCCTGTATATCCACTGCCCATAGTCTGGCCACAAAATCCAGTCCCATGCTTTTTCTATAGCTGCAGATCTCGTGTCAGTGTCAGCGAAGTGACTATTAAGCAATTCATATTTAAAGCTGAACGCCTGGTATGAAAACTCTCATTTAAATATATTCCCCAATAGCCACAAATGATTTAAAAAAATGCTTTATGTGCAGCCCAGTGTTTACTTGGAAAAGTATCAGTGACATCATCACTCTACTGTACATAGCCCATACAGATAGCAAAGCTGTAGAAGGGACCTAACAGGCCCACTCACTCCAAGCTGCCTACAGAAAAAGATGGCGGCAGATGCAAGACCAGTTCCAAGGTGAGGGAGCTGCAGTGACCGTTCTTTATTACTGCACAGAGGCAAAGTTTCATGCTGGAATTCTACAGAGATCTAAAAGAACTCTACAAAGCACACCAAGATTCAAGTAAGAATACACGTCTATTTCCTTATCCTGATATTCAGCTTTAAACTAGCCAAGTTGCCAAGAAGAATTTGTAGGGCCCATTCACGCTAGACCGTCCGCTAAAACTCTCCGTTTTGGTAGGCTAGTGTGCTGCAGCAGCCCTGGCAGTGTGTGTTGCATCGCACACTGCTGAAGCTGTCACTGTTTACATTTTTTAATTTAACTTTATGTGGAGTGCACAATGTGTACACTTCATACATGCTTCTATGCATGTTTGCATTTTATTGGAGCGCCCTGCCATTGTGGTGTGAATGGGACACATAGAAAACAATTGTTTTCTTTGTGTCCTTGTGGTGACCTGCATTGATCTGGTGCAGAACGGGCCCTAATTTTATAGCTATATACAGTATTAGGGTGCAGCAGTATAGAAATGTGGTAACCATAAATAGACATCTAGTAATAGAGTCAGTGTTCAGAGGGTGAAAACAGCATTCTACTAACAGGCACAGTACAAGGACTGGGAGACGCCATGGCAGAGTTAATTGTCCATAGAAAACATTAGACCATGCAAATGATGTTGTAGTATAGCATCAAAAGGTAACATACTAGGAAGCCTTCATTATTTTCTGAGGTACATTTGTACAGGAAAATATCAGGGGCTGGGTTACATTGCAGGTTATCCCACTGTTCTACAAACGCGGTAGCAGTCTGTGACTGGCCAGGACACGAAGGTCTGAAAAGAGCCCAATGCAGAGCTTTTAGCAGAGATACCTCTTACCAAGATATCTCCATCACAGGAAGACTAGAGACTGGGTACACCAGAGGTTGTAGCACTAGTCTAAAACTGTAGAAGGTCTGTGGCCAACTGAACGCCTGTACTCACCTGTCTGGAAAGTGCCATAATGCAGAGCCCAGTGTCTGAAGGTCACCATCTTTGGGCTTACTTTCAGAGCGATTCTCTAGAGACTGGTTTACATCAGGGGCTGTGACTTGGCTCTGAACCTGTAAAGGGCTAACAAACCAGTACACTGGGAAATGCCACAATCAGAGCCCTGTGCCCGAGGGAAGGCCCTGCAATCTTTGATCTAGCGGGGTTCAGGTACGGCCACCAAGGAAATTCCTGGGAGTAGCGTGTTAGGGTTCCAATTTTAGAGTTCCCCAGGATTCGATCGTGCTGCCAGCTTCAGACAAGTACTTGGGAATAAAGAGTCACACCAAGTTGTGTATTCACTCTATATTAAAAGGTTTATTGTAAAACAAGGAATATATATATATATATAAAAAATTTGTTTTCTCATTTTGTCTCTCATAGTTGAGGTCTACCTATGATGCCAATTACAGGCCTCTCTCATCTTTTTAAGTGGGAGAACTTGCACAATTGGTGGCTGACTAAATACTTTTTTGCCCCACTGTATATATATATATATATATATATGTATATATATATAAAACTAAGAAATGGATGATGGAGCATAAACCAATAAAAATCATGCACGTGCATATAAATGGATAAATGCTACCACGGGTCATAGAATGGTATCACAGGTGGTTACTACTAATGAGATAAGAAGACACAGTTTTAATGATACAAGAATGCAGCTGTGAACAAGTGAAAGTGGTTCAAGGCCAGTTTATTCAGAACCTTCTAAAAAGCACACTTTTACTTGCTCCAAATATTAACTATATACAAACCAGGAATAAGAGAACAAAAAGTTTTGACTAAAGAGAAGAAATATGCAGAATGTACTGACAATGTTTATAGAAGAAAAAACCTGTAAAAATATAGTTCGAGTAAGGAGATCTGAGGAGAAAGTGTCAAACTTCCTAGGATACCAGTAACAAACTGAGGCATGTTGGTTGGGGGGAGGTGGTTATAGTGTGCTGGCCTTCAACTTTTTCCTTAAAGTGACACTAAACTCAGGAGTTAAATCCTAAAAATGCATTCAAGTACCTTAACTATTAAGAACAATGTACCTTATTTGTGTATCACTTGGATGTAGATCCTCAAATCATCTCTGAATTGGTGCCGACACTGTCCTTCCTTCTGGAGGGTGGCTACTTTTGTTCCCCATGTTCCCTGTGTGTGTGTTGTAAAGTAGCCAGCACTCCAGGCTCACTCCCATGATGGACTACAATCTCATGTTTAGTTTAATTATTTGTATTGAGACTATAGCCCATCGCGGGAGCCAGCTTGGAGTGGTGGCTACATTACAACACACACATGGAACAAAAGTAGTCACCCTCCAGAAGGAAGGACAGTGTCAGCACCAATTCAGAGATGATTTGAGGATCTACAGCCGAGTGATACACAAATAAGATAAATTTTTGTGTATAATTAAGGTATATGAATGCATTTTTGATATTTAACTCCTGAGTTTAGTGTCACTTTAAGTTTGCCAGCATCCACCTCTTGAAGGCAGCAACATAACCCACATGTCTATAATTTAATATATTCCTGTGTCCCTCAATGGATGGTAAAGAAACATAATTTGCAATAGCTACCCATAACTATTATCATCTTAGTCTGCTGATGTGATTGATGAAATAGAGAGCTAATCAGTTTTCATTGTATAGACCAATCAGACAAGGATTCTGATGAGTTACTATGGGCCACATAGTATTAGTGGTGTGTTCTCATTATCTTGTCAAGTTTTCATGAATCACCTCTGTATATACTATAGTATACAGAACCTTTACAGGCACTTTAGGCTGATTGTTTTTCAGGTCCGCAGTCACATTAGCACACAGCAAATTTGTGATTTTCAGTTAATTATTCATATTGCGTGAGCTAATGTGGCCGTGTCACACTTTCTTATATGTCTTATTTTTATAAACAAGGCAACCTTTTATT